GGGGGGGGGGGGGGGGGGGGGGGGGCTGATGAGAAGGCGATGATGATGGCTGGCTGGATGGATGATGGTGGAGGGTAATGGCCGGGCCGTGGGACGGTGGGACTGGGGGGACGAGGCGGGAGACGGGCCAGGCAAAAGCCAGGACACCCCATCCGTGGTTGCTGGGTCAGGGCCCGGGGTTGTGCAGTGGTGGGGAGCACAGGGCGGTCAGTGGAGCGAGGGCCCCCTTTTTTCGGTAGGGCTCGCTGCTGAAAGTCGCTGCTAGCGGGCTTAGTGGGGGCGTGTGTGGGTGTGTGGGTGCCTGGGCTCTGTGGCCTGCCAGTGCCAGTGCCACCAGCGCGGGCCACGGGAGCCTGTGGCCGGCGCGCATCCGCAACGCCAGGGGGCCACCACAACCGGCCCTGCATGCAGGAGAGAGGGGGACGTGAGAGGCGCCTTTTGCTTTTCTGATCAACAAACAACAAAATCGGTTTGCCAACCATTCACCGCGGAAAGATCCAGCAAAAAAAAAAAGGGGGGCCCGAGTTTGACGATCCGCGTCTGCTCTGCTTCTGCTTGCTGCAGCTATCCCTCTCCTCCCTCTTCCTCATCCTCCCCCGGATCCGCCAATCTGTTTTCCTTCCCCCACCCTTCTCTTCTTCCTCCGTGCGTGTCCTCATCATTCGCTCGGTTCGGTTGCTGTCCGTCGCCAAAAATCGTCCTGTCTCTTGTCCCGGTGCAAACCAAAAGGGCATGACTCGCTCTCGACTCTCTGTTTGACCTTCACGGAAGCCCGCTGGGATCGACAGCCGTTACCTTTTCGTGGGCAATTAGACTTAGACGCGCGCGCCACTAGCAAAGAAAAGCAGCGCCCCCAAACAAAGCCGTCTTTCCCGCTAGTTGCAGAACAGCTTCGCCTTTTTGCGGGTTTTGCTTGCCGCCGGCCCCTGGGACGCACCACACCCCCCATTCGGTTGCTCCCCCATCGCGACCTCTCCCGCCCATCTGCAACCCCCCATCATTGAGCGATGCCCAGTCGACTCACCAAACCCCGACCGACTTCCAAGACCAAGTCAGGAATATTTTCCGCCCTTTCAGATTACGAGGGCGAGAGTGGTACGTAAAACTGTCTTTGGCCCCCTCCAACCCTTTGGACAAGCTCAGCCTCAAGTCGGTTACCATTGTCTGTGTCTGAAACAAACTCCCTCTCCCCTCCTCCACCCACCTGCAGCAGCATCCCAAGCTGCCCGCACGATGCATCCGCGCTCTGCCGCCCGAGCTTCTGTCCCTCCTAGACGCACCACCGACTGCCACGACATCGGGAAGAGCGACAAGAGCAACAAGAGCGAGCCGGGCTTTTGCTGACCATGTTTATGAAAGACTCGCTCTCGTCTCGCACCGATTCGGCGCGGGCGGTCACCACATCCGCCAAGTCGTCGACCTCGAGCAAGGTGGCCAAGTTCTTCTCGTCCTCCTCGCATGAGCGGTCATCATCCCGGACATCCCTCGCCAACGCCTCCGACGGCGCCGTGAGCGCCATGCCCTGGAGCGCCGCTAGCGGCAACTCCCAGGTTCGACAAAAACCACTCCCTGCCGCCCCAATATCACAGTCCCTGGGGCGCATGAACTCGACCATCCGCACCGTCCAGAGCTTCGAGGGCCGCGACTCCGAAGATTCGAGCACCGACGTCACCTCGCGCAACTCGGCCTTCTCCAGCTCGGTGAACAGCAATGCGAGCGGCCTCTCGGCCATGTCTCAACAACCACAACAATACCAGAAGGACTCCAGCTTTCGGATCAAAGGAAGCTTCTCGGCGGGAACCATGGACAGCTACACGACGACAACCTTGGACGTGCCGAGGTCACATCCGTCCGGAGCGGTACCGATGAGACCGAGCGTCGAGATGTCGCGGTCGAGCGTAGAAATCCCGCAGAGGGAGAGCAGCCTGTCGGCCATCACGGTGAACGGCCAGCACATGCACGATGGCGAGATACATATGAACGGCGGGGATGCGGCGCGCGGCAAGACGGGACGCATGCTCGACAAGCTGATCGCAGAGAAAGAAGCTCTACTACGGGATTACAAGTACGAGAAGACGAAGGCCGAGGAGCTGCGGCAAGGGGCCAGGTTGCTGGCGGATAAGAACAAGCTGCTGGAAGAAGAGAAGGAGAAGAACAACCTCGAAAAGGACCTCATGGAGGCGCGCCTGGCTCGCAAGGAGCGCCAGGTCGAGACCTTGCAGGGGTCCATCATGTTGGAGAAGGCTCGCGCCGTGGAGGCCGGCGAGCGTGAGCGGACATGGCGGGCAGAGATGGAGCGGATACGGTCCGGCGCCAAGCGCGAGGTCGAGGAGGCCAGCACCCACGCGGCCCTGATGGAGGGCCGCTACAACGCCATCAGCAGCCACTGGAAAGACCAGGGCGACGAGGTCAAACGCGCCATGGCCAAGATGAAAATCCAGGTCACCACTCTGCTCGAGGAGCGTCGGAAAGACGACGACCGCATCGGCACGCTGCGAGACCTCTGCGATCAGCAGGATGGCAACATCCGTGACCTGCAAAAACAGAAGGACAGCATTTCGATACAGTTCGAAAAATACAAGGCCGAGCAGGATGCCGCCTTGCACGACATCAAGACCAAGGCACGCGAGCGCGAGGAGGAGCAGGAGCGGACCCTCCGGGAGACGAAAGAAGTGCTCGACAAGCTGAAGTGGGCCTTGAACGTAAATAACAACGTCAAGGGCGCCGAGTAAGGAGGGCATCGATTCCTTCTTTCTTTCCGGCCCCCTACTTCCGTTACGCCCGAGAACTTCGATTTCTCGAGGCCTTTAGGGAGAGCGAGTGAGAGGCCGTCCTCTTACTGATCGCCACACTACGATACCACAGACGAACCAGGACCTCGGAGAAGCGCAAGTCGGGGCCCCCTACGCCGATGGGCTTTACGGCAAGAGCGCACCGAGGCCCTCTAGCTCTTTTGTTACTTTCTTATATGACACAGCGGGACCAGCGAGGAACATATACGGGCAGCCCAGGCAGCACGGACGACCCATTGGCGGCGACGCAAAGTCGCGAGAAGCTTGCGGACGATCCACCATGGTGGCAAAATGCCCTCCCGCATTTCGACCAGCTCCAAGCAGACATTGACGTCTACGGTGGTGTTTTTTTATTATTCCGGCCTGGCTACTACTACTCATTCAGCCCCCCTTGCCAGGGGCGGGGCTCTCATTGGATGGAGTTGAGGAACTTGGCGTTCAGACAATAGTTGTGATCTCCCTTCTCAGGAGAGGTTAGCAGGGCGGGTTGTAGGCACGAAATTGTTTTTTTGTTTGTATGTGCGTGTTTGGCTGTGATGACACGAAAGACTGGCAAGGCAGGGCAAACCGGCATGGGCCTACCACACCGATCTTCAGAGCGAATTCGGCTGTTGAGACGACATCCAGGTGCTGTGAATAGACGGGGCTTCTTTTTGCTTCTCACTCTTCGGATCTTTCATTCAAGTGGTTATACCCATTGACTCAGGTCCTGGTATCGGTAGCTAAGTTTCAAGAGACCGGTGCATATCATCTTTGTTCTAGGCGACGCGTACCATCCGATCCACAAGCCACTCCCCATCCCACTAGTCCTACATAACGTCCGGGACACATTGTACAGCCGGCAAGGCGGGACACTTCCATTTTCTACCAGAAA